AACCCCAAAGCCGCATCTAGCACAAGGCTGCACATTCATCTTGAAATCAACAGAGTGAAGAATATATATATCTATATATACACAAAAGGTTTGAAGTCTATGAAGATGACTTTCCAGTCCGTATGTAACACACTCCAAACAGCCCAATCAAGCCCTTTTGCTCTGCAGTCCAGGATCACATTAAAGTTCTGAATCGAAGTTCTCACTCCCTTTTGCTGACCTTCTGCTTTGAAGTCAGCTGCTGGCTGGCTTTTAAAGCTGCCAGTTACTAAGAGGGGTTATTTTGGCAACTGGGTAAGTACATACAGAAGGGGAGCTCTCAGTGACATCTTTCTCTAAATAGAAGAGTGAACTCAGAGAAAAGAATCATGTTCATATGAATGATAGAAACTGGTCATTCAGTTTCTAGGCTTTGCAGTTTAATGCTAGCTGTCATAACCCCAGGATGGAGCTAATGGTATCAACAGTACCATTATCAAATTAGTAGGTAGCTGGTCACCTCCATGTGGGGTATATGAGCTCACTAAGGGATAGTCTGTTCCTTTAGGAACAGCCCTGTGTAAGGTAGCTGTGCCACCCCAGAAGTTCAGGGAAGAAACTTTAACTCAGAGATTCACAATTTCTTCTATGCTCCCCATTTGCTCCTGCTACATCGCAGACCATAGCAAATTACTTCCCCTTAACCCAACTCACCTGCACTTGGTGGGCTGTGGGGAGGCAAAGCCAATACCAAGCCCATTCTCTGCCCCTCTCCTCCTCCTATTGCTTCTGCCATTGAGATACAGGGAGGCCCCACATGCGGTTGGGGGAAGCCTTTTATTTCAAAGAATTCCAAACATTAACAAACGGGACACTTGGCCTATCAACCACAAAAGAGCAGTCACAAAGCAGCTATTTAATAATGTACCGCATCAGCAGAGCAGTGTAGATCAGAAAGTGAAAAATGCCTCATCCAAATGGAACTATGGAATAATGTGAATAGGTAAACTGTCACTCCTAACACTGGAGGTTACCAATCCTCCCCTTCAAAAGATACCATGGAATTTTTCACAACTGCAAGTGGTCAGGGCCTAAGTTTTACATCTCACCTGAATTACAGAACCTCCAACAGCAGTGTCCCTTAACAATGGGACATTGCTAGGTACTTTCCTCTAGAGTAAACTACAATCTACTGAATCCACAACACCACTCTCCTTAGCAGTTAGGTACTATAAGGAAGCCCCCTATCCAATTCCTGATGATACCCAACTCTGCTTAACTTACTATGTTTACTGAATGCTAACAGCGTACTAGCACTGCATAGAAAATGGAGTTGACAAAGTCCCTGCTCTGAAGAGACACAGTAGTAAGCACTATGGCCCCAACTATACAAAGACTTACTCATGTGGTTAATTTTAAGCACTGTGAATAGTCCTGTTGACTATGTGTAAGTCTTCACAGGATTAGGGCCTATGCTTGGTACTAAATATTAACAGGATGAGCCCTTTGGTCTCAATACTGCTCCCACTGAAGTCAAGGATTGAGAGTTGAGTTCTTATACCCAGAGTATATCAGGTACACAAAAGATTAAGAGGACAGTACATTTGGGATTGGCTCTGTTGGGTTCCTGGGTATAATGCAGTAGGATGGTAAAAGGCCATAATCACCTAAGCTGCTGCATGCTGAATACGTTGGAATGATGAGGAAAGTCTACTGGAGCCAAGATAATAGCCCTAGTTACATCACAGCTAGAAAATCTAATATAATAATATTATTAAATAACTCACTTGAGGTTCTTCTGTCTAGGAGAGGATATGACAATGGCCATTGCAGCAATGGGGTTGCTTATATTCATATTATGTATTTTTAATTACTGCGAAAGCAGCCAAAGCCATGGATGGGGTTGAAGTAAAAATTATAAGAATGAATAAAAATAAATGTTTTAACTACTTTTAAACAGTGGCCTAGAATTGGAAGAATGAAACAGGACTGAATCCAGTCTGGCATTTCCAGTTCTTGTTGGAGTTCCTTAGAGGGGTGCTGCTCTCTATTTGTTGACTTCATTGCCCTTCTGTTTTGGTGTAAGGTCACCAAGTTTTCACACCTGCATGTTAAAATCAGGGATACAGATTATGCTGTGCATCTAGGATTTTTTATCTAGATAATCAATTTTTAACCATTTAAGGCTTTGATCCTGCAATGTGGGTTGCACCTGCAGATCTATGCATGTCACAGGGGTTTTAAATTATTTTACCTCTGTAATTTATTCTGCAGGGTACACATTTTACTTTGTAATCATCTGGCAGTGGGTCCTTTACTGTAGAAAAAAAAATTGCTTAGCTATGTGAATTTTACCAAATGAAAAAGGATTTGAACAAAAACCATGCTTATTAGAAACAAAAAATGAGCTGTTCCAAGTAAAACCAAACCTGTTTCCTAGCAACAACGGCCTTGCTTTTAGAAGAGGGTGTTACCAAGTTTTGTGATTTTATCACAAGTCTTGTGGTATTTGGGGTCTTTCTAAAACCCTAGCTCATGAAGTCATATGAATACATGAGAAGCTCAGCTTTTAAAAAAATATATTCCAGGTATTGCAGGTATGGAGAAAACCTTAAAAATGTGACCTAAATGCAGTGTTGATTTTATTGGGGGTCTCACAAATTTTAGAAAGACAAGGTCAGTGAGGTAAGTCTCTTTTATTTGACCTTCTGTTGGTGAGAAAGATAAGCTTTTGAGCTTACACAGTGACCTGTTAAGACCCCAGCAGTCATAAGGAGTTAGTTCAGTCAATTACAAAATTTTTAGTTTTTCTAAAAGGCCCATCTACTGGAACCATGAGCCTCTCAGCTTTCATTTAAAAAAAGAA